TATATTTTTATAAATTATCTATACTTTTTAGGCGCTAGTACTACTTTTCTTTTAAATTTCAAAAGTGTTAATACTTATTTCAATGTAATTAATACTTTCAACATATCCGGTAGCGCTTTATTGGTTTTGTCATATTGAACCCGATTTCTCATATTTTTATATGATATATTATATGTGTCGATACATTTTTTATTTGTATCGATAAGTACCGACAAGCTAAGTTTGCCGATTGCTAAATTTTTTAATATTTATTCATGATTTCCACCTACAACATTATTATTACTCAATATTTCCGATAGCGCTAAACCGACTTTGTTAAATATCTTATTATGTTTCCGGTAACGCAGTATATTAGCCATATATTAGTCCGCCTTTCCTGAGACAACCCCTAGGGAAACCTACATAAATAGTACCAAATGTTTAAGAAGCTTACATTTCTGTTACTAAATTTTTAAAACTTATAAATACAGTAATTAAAATTTTAAATTTATTATATTACGGTCACCATCGTCATCCGCATTAAAAATATATATAATACACGTTAATTTTTTTCCTTAATAAAATAATATATTTTAAACCCATTTTCCACGTAATTTAAAAATAAAATCATTCCTGAAAAATAGTATATTTTTTCCCTTACCGGTTTGTGAACAATCTAAAGCAAGTAAGCATCTTGAATAATGAGGCTTTCTCCTGGTCTTCGCTGTTTATCTCGATTGTTTTGCAGTTTTGGAAACAACGGAAAGATCTTGTCTTCTCTGATATTACCCAACCAACTGATGCACTCCTTCGTCGACACATCGTTTAGGCAAAACACTATGCCAACTATATGCCAAAGCCTTGTAAGCCTCGTACGATACAACAAACAACAGTTTTGTGAAGTAAACCCCCTGCTGGCTGGATGTTCTTGAATACAGATGGAGCTGTGTCCTTGTCTATGGGAAGAGGCTCTATTGGTGGTGCAATATGGGATTCAAATGGAGTTTGGATGGTTGGCTTCAGCAAAAACATAGGCATAAGCTCGGTCCTTCAAGCTAAGCTTTGGCGATATATACTGGACTCACTATTTCTCAATCTTCTGGTTTTACAAAAATTATTGTCCAATCGGACAGCACCCAGGCGATTAAAATATTGGATGATATAAATGCTATTCGGAGTCACATTTCCCTTGTTCGAGCAATTGCAGGTTTACGCATGTGTGCATGGGATTTGCGCTTCCAATGGGTTCCATGTTGCAGCAATTCTGTGGCTGACCGGCTTGCCAAGTTTGCCCCAGGATCTCACTTGGATCTCGTTCAGTATGCATCCCCTCCTCTTGGAATTATGGACCTTCTCGCAATTGATTCAATTGCTACCTCGACAGCTGCTGCTACACCAGCTTTAGACTAATGTTCTAGACACTCTTCCAATTCAAAAAAAAAAAAATTTAAACAAACAAAAAAAAAAACGAAAGGTGGTGACTGATTAAAATCCTTAGATCATTTAGGTAATATTAAAAATATTAAATTATATTAATTTCAACGTAGTTGACCAAAATAGTCGGATTTGTCTGATGCCATTTTCATCAAAATGAACTATATCTAAGGATGGGTATAGACTCTAATTACTAGATTTCAATTTGATTTTATAAGATTAAATTAAAAAAGTTTGAATTGGATCAAATCTTGTTAGGTTTAAATTTAGATCTTTAATTTATTATAATATTTCTATATTTTTTAATTAGATCTTTATTTTATCTAATAAAATATAAATATAATTTAACTTAGAAAACAAGTTCAAAACACTTTATTTATTAGTTTACCCTTTTGCAAATCATTTTTATACATTAATTTTTATGTTTTTTTTGTTATGTTTATCGGATTATATTTTTCTCTTAAGCAAAAACGAAATTAAAATCAAACATAAAAAAAATGTTACTTGCTTACGGATTTTTCCCCCCTAAAATTTTAAAGTTTATTGACGAAACACTGAAATCATTGTCATTTAGAAGTTTCAACTAATATCCATCCTTCCCCAGCTGGTTCTATAGGGGCTGACCCGCTTCCCCATAATTCTAAGTAAAAAAACAAACAACTTTTTACAGATTGAAATTATTAATTAATAAGCGATTAATGCTTTAAAATATAAAAAAATTTATCTTACAAGAAAATATTTAAGAGTCAAATATTTCAGAGTAAAAGAATGAAATCAAAATAATTATTTAATTAAACATTAAATAGTTTTTACTTCAAAATAAAATTTTAAAACTAAACTATTTAAAAAATAAGAAATAAAATGACCATATATCGAGAGGAATGAATACATATAAACATGCTTTCCAGCAGCCTAAAAAGTGAGATAATGACGTTTATGGTCGTCTTTGATCGTGACATGGGTTTAAGAGCGATTTTCCATTGGGTAAATCAGACCGAAAGTCCGCATGAAGCGATCAAAGGCACTTCTCTTCTTAACATTTTCGATTTTAATAGAAAATATTAAAAATTTAATATTTTAAATTATAAAAATATTTATCTTAAATTGTATTCAACTGAAAATATTAAAATATTTTAATATATTTAATTATATTTTTTTAATTTTCAATTAAACTGTCGTACGATAAAACTACATCAATTTTCTAAGGTAAGATTATATAGAAATATAAAAAGTAGTGTAATTGATTGTGTTTCTTATAAGTGGTTTAGTCGGTATTCTCTTAATATAAGTAATAATTGGATAATTCGATCATAACTTTTTAAAGCTATTTTGCTAATATATATTTATTTTAAATTAAACTATGATTTTCTAGAAGATTGTACCATATTGAATTACTCTTAGGAATTCTCAATTATTATATAACATAGGATATTCATGATTGAGTATCGAGTTTTTGCATGATATTTTTGTTCCTTCGTAACAGTTCTTTTTAACAGATTATTTTTATTTTAGATATAATACTAACGATTTATTAGAAAAAATATGTGTTTTGAAAATAAATATAAAATTTATTTTATATACTACTCGTTGCTTTTAAAACTAAAAACTTTTGGACTAGTACTCTATCACAAATCTTCTTTATTTGAATAAAACTTTGGACTGAATCTTCTTTAATTGATTTATCACACAAAAAAATGGATTTGAATCTTGTTTATTTTATTTCACAAACTTTTGAATTGATAAATGGGCAAACGCATGTCGATATTACTTAACCATAACAAACGCTTCTCAACTCTTCTGGCAATACAATAAACATAGAATAAAAAGTTATTTTCAATTAAGATGTAACAGAGATGGTTTAAGTGTTTAACATTCTTAATTAGAGATGAGACATCTTAATATTGTGGCTACACGACGCATGTTTCTTAACACCATGACTACATGGTAGAGGAAGTTAAGAATTTCTGAGAAATAATAGAAAAACACTCTTAAAAGATTCTAGTACTTAAGCGAAGGAAGAATAACTTCGATATTTGCGTGTATTAAAGGTGTTACAGTACTATGTACTAAGAGAGTTTTTCCTAGTACTTGTGCGAGAAGTAGTTATGCTACACTCTAAGTCTCATATCATCTAAAGTATATTTAGACTTATTTAAAATGCAAATAGTCTCATATTGTCTAATCTAAAATAAAGATATAGGACTAACCAGTAAGTTTGATCTAAAAAAGTCTTTATCCACTCAACCTACGAGTAGGCTTATTTACTATATGACTTAAACTTGAAAATTAAGAGAATAAAATCATATTTTTTTAATCAAAATACATACTTTTTTGTGTGGTATTAAGTTAAACGATCGATTCAAAACCTTAACTTGGTGAATCAATCTTTCTCATAAAAAACGTACATACCGCAAGCCTGAGAGCAACAATAACAAACTTTTCAACAAAGAACAATCTAAGAATTATATAGGATGTTTGTGGAGGAGATGAGAGGCAACATTGGTTGGGAGCATATCTATACTGATTTCTTTCGGTCGGAAGGTTGTCCGTGTTCACATCAATTGGTTGATGAGAAAAGTAAGGTTATGGAGGCCATATACAATTCTGATTTGGACAACCAACTTCAACCGATAGTTTTACGACAGATAGACGATTTAAAATGATAGATCCTATCCTCTGTCCAAAGAGAGGAAAAGAGAAAGAAAATGATGAATAATGAATTAAGCAAAGAGCGAAAGAGAGCTCATTTATTCAATTTTGTATGGTAGTTTATATATCGATCTTTAATGTGAATGCAAGGTCTACAATCATTATGATTATTTGTAGATTGATAAGTTGAATATACATTACTATTAGATAATAGATTTAATTTTTAATATTTCATATAAACTTGTTAGTGATTATGTCAAAAGATTATAACCACTCAAAAATTATAAAATTTCGAGATTTTTAAGATTCCAAGAAACTTCAATCAACAGAAAAGTTCCTACAGAGGCTTCGAGGAACTCAACATGATGTGAAACTCTACAAAAATAACATAAGAGGTGCAGTCTAATGTAACCTGGGAAAAAGGTAAAAAAAAATAAAAATAAAACATATATATTGTTAGATGATATCACATACTATGATGCAAGTGAAAGATGATATTAAATTAAAAGTATATTGTTATAAAATTTTATTAGATATATTATTATAGATAAACTAATAATAAAATTATATAATTTTTTTATTAATATTAGTTTTAAAAAACATTTTTAATTAAATTTGATACTACATTAATAAAACTAAGATAATTAGAATAAAATTTTAATAGTACGTATTTGTTTTGAAGTTAAATAATAAAGTACCTAAATTTTCAATACAATAAATAAAAATTATGAAGTAAATTATTTTGAGTCGCTGCATCGAGGGTGTCGGATGCCAAAATCGCAGCCCATCTATCTCCGACTAATCGGTGCCGTTTAACTAACAGCTTCAAGAAAGGCCAGTCGTTTCTTCCATCACCCATTTTCTGTCCGTGGACGAATTGAAAAATATAAGAATCCCTCCGCTAGATCCACACAAATCTTAATCCAACGGTTGCGAATCCAATCCGAAACTTATTTCTTCAATATACTATCATTTCTATGTTCTTTTCTTTTCCTTTCCTCTATTTCTCTTTTTATAAAAAGAAGAAGAAGAGGTTTTCTTCAACGGCCGACCGGTGCTGACGACCAGATCCGGTATGCTTCCCGTTCAATTTTTGGAATAAATTAAAAAAAAACATTTAATTCTATTACTTGTACCTTTTTCTCCTTTCCTTTTTTGCATTGATTTTAACGCCGATTTTTTTTTCTCTTCATAATTGTAAGGTTTGTTTTCGATAAATTCCTTCTATTTCCATGGCTGCTCCACCTGCTAGAGCTCGAGCCGATTACGACTACCTCATAAAGCTTCTTTTGATCGGCGATAGCGGTAACTTTCTATTTCTTTTTGTTTTTCTCTTGATATTGATTTGAAATTGGATCTACTCATCACGCCTACACTTTTTCGTGAGAAATGTTGGGTTATTTAACAGTATTTATTTATCTATTCTAATTTCCTAAATATGGAAAACCTTGGTGCGAGATTGTGATGTTCATTTCAAGATCTTTGCCTTAGATTAAGCTTGATTTAGGTCTACAGATGATCTTAATGCGATGTTGATTGGAGATTTTTTTTTGGGTACAGGAGTCTGTTTTAGTTCCTTACTAATGGTATTTGCTCTTGTATTTTAGCTTGTATTTGTTAATGTATTCCATCTTAATATGGCTTATCGTCATGGAAATTCTGTCTCGATTAGTGTTACTGATGCTGAATGTTTGAGTCGTCTGTGTTCGTTTGCATTAAGAAACTTTTTTCCAATTCATGTGATCGACTGCTATAAATTGTTATAATTGTCTGTAATTAGGGTTTATAGGTGATATTGTAGTGATTTTGAAAAGACTTTTTCTTGATATTCTCCACTTTGTTTGAATTTGAGTTCTTAATAACTCTATCTGCTTATACTATTTGAGTTGTTGGCAGGTGTGGGTAAGAGTTGCCTCCTTTTGCGTTTTTCAGATGGTTCATTTACTACAAGTTTTATCACTACAATTGGGTAGGGTTTTTTCCCCTTATTGCAATACTGTGGTCTTTATATTATTTTTACTTTTATAAGGGACATGTGGTTTAAAGGTTGCGTTTACTTTGGCAGAATTGACTTTAAGATAAGGACTATAGAGCTTGATGGAAAAAGGATCAAATTGCAAATTTGGGATACTGCTGGGCAAGAACGGTTTCGAACAATTACAACTGGTTAGTTTTTGGAATTTGGAGTTGCCACTGACTAGATACATGTCTAATCAGAATTATATATGATTGATAAAATAATTTTATTGAAATTGTAGATGTTTAGCCTTTCATATTTCTGAATTCTTGTTACTCAATGTTTAGATTAAAGGTATTTGCTATTAGTATTAGCTCTACTGGTGGTGAATAATTTATGTCTGAATAGTCTTTTATTTCACACCCCAAAACACAGTTGCTTGCTTGTTTCTTCTAATTTACTTATCATGACTTTTACCTTTATGGGGTACGTGCAGCGTTCACTTCTTTAGTAGTTCCAGATGTCTAATCTCTCTAATAAATTCGGATTTTATTTTCTTCAGTCTTGTATGGTGTACAGATGAATTATGTAACATTTTCATTTTGTGCAGCTTACTACCGTGGTGCCATGGGTATTTTACTCGTGTATGATGTGACTGATGAGTCATCTTTCAATAGTAAGTATTGAACTTTTTATCATTTAAAATTTGAAATTCATACGCTTTTTGTGATCTTGTCCATCTTTGAATCTTTAGAAATGTTTAATGTTCCCATCAAATTTTGCATGTTATTGAAAAATGCCCCTTATCTAGTGATTTAAAATTTTGTTCCTTCTCCATTATAATGTTTTATCAACTGTTCTAACATCCTTTTTTGGCATAGACATTAGAAATTGGATTCGTAATATTGAACAGCATGCTTCGGACAATGTCAACAAGATTCTGGTGGGCAACAAGGCTGACATGGATGAAAGCAAAAGGGTTTGTTTCTTCTTTCTCTTCCGTTTTCACGTGCGATTATGTTTATATGCTTTTTTGTTTACCTTTTCTTTTCCATATTGGCCTCGATTATTTTCTTGTCAAGTTGACCCTTAACTCATCTTTCAGGCTGTCCCTACCTCAAAGGGTCAAGCTCTTGCTGATGAATATGGCATCAAGTTCTTCGAGACTGTATGTAATTTTACATACATCGTTACTTTTCCGGTGTTTTGTTGTTTATTTCCTATATGCTCAAGAGCCACTATTTTGCAGAGTGCAAAAACAAACTTAAACGTGGAGGAGGTTTTCTTCTCAATAGCACGAGATATTAAGCAAAGACTTGCCGATAGTGACTCAAAGGCTGAGGTATGGTTTATTTTGCAAAAAGTTGTAGCTATGGATTATGCAAATCCATTTCTATTAATTCATACATTGTGTCGTTTTGATCATCTTGTCGATCCTCACTGCAGCCACAGACGATTAAGATCAACCAACCAGACCAAGCCGGAGGTGCTGCGGCGAATGCTCAAAAATCGGGATGCTGCGGGCAATGAACGAAACTTCGTCGAGGGTACATGTTCTTCTCTAGGGTGCTGTTTTGGTCCTTCAAAACTAATTTGTTACGACTATATTATTATTGCTTGTATTCTCCTGCCTATCATTATGTTATATCTGCAACTCTGGTGTGAAATGCTAGATCCATGCTATTTTACAAAAAAAATATTTATATTAAATTATTTTTTCCAGTTTTGGAAGAAATTGTCTGCCATCTCATTTTCTAAGTTCAAATTAAGAACTGCCCCTCGTAGAATAATTTAATCATCAAGAACACATAATTTGCTAATAACTTTGCATGAAAAAAGGTTTAAGATGCGTGAATGTATAAATATTTGTTTAATTTTATTATTTCAATATATTGATGTATATAAAAATTAAATTTACGATGATTGATTGTTAATTTGTTATAAAGCGACACCCATTTTTTTTAAATTGTTTCTTTATTAAGTTATATATAAATTTTAAATTGATTGGCTAATTATACATGGCCAACTATTTAAATATAATAAATATCAAACATAAAATTATTTTTTTAAACATTAGGTCTATCATGAATCGTACTTGAAAATTACTTGGTAAAATAAATTTAGTTTATCCTTATTGTTTGATATGGATTTTAATCAACTCAAGAGTTAACAAGAATTAATATTATATCAATTCATGAATTATACATGGATTAATAAATAATTCTCCATAGGATTAAAAGTGAATATTAAATTAAGGGTTCATTTGTTTCACTGAAAATATTTTTCAGAAAACATTTTTCGTAAAATGAATTACATCTAAAAAAATATTTTATGGTGTTTGGAAGATGTGTAAATCATTTTTCACTAGTTGATAAATTTTTTAGAAATTATTTATTGCAAATATAAAAATATAATAAATAATATTATTTATTATAAAAACTTAATATTATTATTTTAAAAATATTAGAATAATTTATTTAATACTATTTATGTCAATATTATCATTAAAATATTATTTCTATAATTTTATAAATAAAATATTAACTCTAGTATATTCTATTAAAATAAACAAATGATAAATTATATTGAATATCTATAAAAATAAAATATTATATTTTAAAATTATTAATAATATATTTTAAGGAATTTTTATAATATTATTAGACTATTATATTAATATTAAATACATAAATAAAAGCATTCACTATTAATAATTCAATAATATTATTTTTAAGAAATTAATAATAATATAACTTTTATTAATAATTTATTATATTATTAAAATAAGAATATAATAGTATCATATATTATTATAATATAATTGAGTATATTATTGTAACAATAATATATTATATTATTAAATATATTTTAAATATGTTAATAATTAATATTTTCATTTAAATGATATTAAAATGTCATATTAACATTAAATTTATAAAATAATATTATTTTGAGTATTTATGCTTTGAAATGAAAAGTTTGGAAAATGACTTACGGAAAATAAAACCGTAAGTCATTTTCCAGAAAATGCAAAAGAAATTCTGTTGACCGGAAAATGTTTTACATTGATCAATCTGTTTTCCTCAAATCAAACATTGAAAAGTGAGGAAAACGTTTTCCAGAAAATATTTTACGTGAAACAAACGGACCCTAACTTGTGAGTTATTATAACTTAATTTTTGAAACACAATTAATAGATATAATAAATATTAAAATTAAACATTAAATTGTCAGAAAGGAACTTATTGTGGTTTTAATAGTAAAGAAAATGTTATTCTTCTTAGAAGATATCATCGTCACTCATCGTCGACAACTGACAGCTGCCGATCGTCAAACTCAATTTTTTCTATTTTACCTTTTTTACTTCCTAAACACGAATATAATATTTGTTTTTCTAAAATATACAGAACCTAGGTCATGGATGTGTTACCGAAGGCTGCACTGGACCAAGGCATGAGCAATTATGCACTCGTCGTCTATCGTCATTTAAGGCTGTAAACGAACTGAACATTCAGTGAATGATTTGTGAATTGTTCAGTGGGAAGTTTATTTATTTATTAAACGAACGTACATGAACATGTTTTTATGTTCGTTTAATTAAATGAATAAACACGAACAAATGATTCGTTTGTTCATTTACGTCCGTGAATGTCCAGTAATCCATTTGTTTATGTTCATTCATTTAATTAAATTTATATTATGTTCGCTTATTTATATCCTTTAAGAATTTTTGTTTGATTTAATAGAAACTTTATTTTATGTTCGTTTGCATTCGTTTATAATTTTAACGAACGCACAATAATGAACAAGAACAAATTACATTACTTAACGAACGAATACAAATAAAAAAAATTGTTCGTTTAGTTGTTTGTTTAAAATTAATAAACAAACATGAACATACCCTCTTCGTATTCGTCCGTATTCATCGGTTCATTTACAAGCCTAACCACCGCGCCATCGCCACCCTTGATACGGCTCCTTTGTATCCATTCTCGAAAAGTATATACATCTCTCCCTATATATATATTTAATGTGATGTTTGTAATTAGTGTAATGAAACTGACATGGAAATTTCAACTTTTTTGTTTTGTTTGATTGATAGGAAAGTGAGGCCTAAAATGACAATATCAATCTTCGTCAAGTTAATGGTGCTTAGCTTATTGGAGTAGTTATCCAAATTGACTTACGAGTGTTTTGTTTTGAACATCATACAATTGACATCTAACGAATGTTTGTTTACTTTGGCAGGCCAGTCACTGACCAAAACTTGTATTATGTGGAGATGAAAATTTTAGGTTATATTAACCGTAATTAGTTAGCCTTATTTGTTTTACAGTTAGTTAATTCATTTGTTAGTTATTTTTCAATTAATATTATTGTTGTATATAAGCAACTTTGTATTCTTCTTTTTCGTGGAATGAAAGCAAGGGCATTCTTTCATTTTTACTTTCTTTGATCATTATATGGTATCCGTAGTTTTGTTTTTTCACGCTTCATCATGGTTAATTCCTTGAATGATAGTTTTGATATTGAGGTCAACCCCTATTATTTGCATCAGTCAAATAATCCCAGTATAATTTTGGTGACTCAGCCGATTTCCAACGATACTTTCATAGTTGGAAGTGTTTTCTTTGGTGTTCAAGAAGAGAATCAAATAAATGTACAAATTGTTCATCCTATTTCCGAGCCTACCTTTGTTGTCAAGGCTCATTCTGGTACTGGTAGTCGCAAGAACATTCCCTTGTGTAGTCATTGTAACATTCTTGGTCACACAAAGAACAAGTGTTATAAGTTGATTGGCTATCCGCATGGCTATAATTTCAATATTTGGTATCCTTCGAGTTCTTCTTCCATTTCTTGTGGTAAAGGTACCTAGTGGTTTACACTAATTTTGTGGTTTCTCAACAAGGTTCTTCTGCAGTTAACGAAGCTTTTACTCCCTAGCAATGCCAACAATTGATTGTCATGCATACCTCTCAGTTACAAACTGCATCTTCTTTGGATGTTCCTACTACTTCAATTAATACTGCCATGCAAGGTTAGATTCTGTCACACATAAATAGCTCATGTGTTAGGGCGTCTGATTACTAGATTTTAGACTATGGGGCTTCAAGGCATATTCTATTCAAAGACTCTCTTTGAATCTTTATTTCCCATAACAGATTGTTCCGTAACCTTGCCTAATAGATCCACAATACCAGTTAGCTTTGCGGGCACAATTCGTCTTTCTTCTGATCTTGTTTTATATTATATGTTGTTTGTTCGAGATTTTCGCTTCAATTTGCTTTCAGTTAATGCCTTGTTGAATACTTTCGATCTAAATGTGTTGTTTTGCAAAACGAATTGCTTAATTCAGGACCTTTATCGAGCGATTGGGAAGGGTGAACTGGTTTAAGGACTCTACTTGTTGCAGATGTCTTCTTTAAAATCTAGTATTTCATGTAATAATGTTTCTAGTGATTTGTTCAGTTCTTAGCATAATAAGTTGGGTCATCCTAGTTCCCATGTCATGCATCTTCTTAAAGATGTTTTATCTCTAAAGAATGTAAATATGCGAGACCCTTGTCAAATTTGCCCATTGGCTAAGCAACAAATATTATCATTTCATGTTTCTTGTTCTCATACTACACGATCATTTGAATTAATTCACTGTGATATATGGAGACCTTATAAACATAAATCGTATTCTGGTCAGACTTCATTTCTTACTTTGGTTGATGATTTTTCGAGATCCACTTGGGTTTATTTGCTGCAACACAAATCTAATGTCAGTGCAATCATACATGCTTTTATATCCATGGTAAAGAAACAATTTGAACTTGATATAAAAGGTTTCAGGTATGATAATGTCCCTAAATTAAAGTTCACTAACTTTTTTACAGCTTGGGTATAGTTCACTAGTTCTCGTGTCTGGAAACGCCTCAACAAAACTCCGTGGTTGAAAGGAAACACCAACATTTTTTGGTTGTTGCTCAAGCATTGTATTTTCAATCAAAGGTGCTAATTAAGTTTTGGGGTGATTGTTTACTCACTATCACTTATTTAATTAATGGACTTCTATCACCTCTGTTGGACAATAAATCTCCCTTTGAAGTTTTGCATGGCCATTTACCCGACTATGATCGATTACGAGCCTTTGAATGCCTTTGTTTTGTTTCCACATTGAAGTCCTAACAAAATAAGCTTTCTGCTGGTGCTTTTCCTGCTATGTTCCTTGGATATCCTCCATGTGTGAAGGGGTATCGTGTATATGTGTTGCAAAGTCAGGAAATAGTTTTTTCTCGTAATATGGTTTTTCATGAAGGCTTGTTTTATTTTCAAAACATTCATTTATCTGATCATTTTATTGATATTTTCCAGAATTTTTTCTTGCCCAATACTATACATGACTTAGTTGATTCTTAGCATATATTAGAGGTTCGACTTGTACAAGATGGTTCAGTAACCATTCAACAACCTTCTCCTGAGTCTATTTTAGAGGAACCTGCTGGTTAAAATCATGTTGTTTCACTACTTGTTAACACTATTTTCCAGTGCTGATTCGACGCTCTTATCATCTTACTCAAAAGCCATCATACCTTCAGAGGTATTACTGTAACAATGCTTCTTCCATGTTTATATCCCATTGAAAATTTTGTGTCTTCTTTGAGACTTTCAACTGAGTATGAAGTTGATGACTGCAAATGGGTTTATCATGTAAAGTATAAGTT